GGGGGTGGAGGGGGATGGGATTAACAGTCGCAAATATCTGTCTGGGGATGGGAAAACACCTCTTATCAACAGGGTGCCTGAATGAAACATAATTGTACACCTAACCCTTAACTGTACCCCACAAAATCATAATAAAAAATATTGATTAAAAAAAAATAAAAGAGTAATGGGATAGGAAGTAAGTGATTTGGAACTATCAGCCCCAAAGTGACAAGAAACACCCTGAGGTTGGGGCCTACAGGTATATACCCTTGGTATGCTCAAGGCCTCACAAGCCTGAGAGGAAAATGGGATGATACTAATAGCAATAACCAGAACATCCCTGGTTCTTGTCTCCATCAATTCTCACAGGCTCTAAGGTCACTGTCAAGTACCCCAGGTCTTTCTGAGGATCCCTGGGGTGTGCCTGACCTGTGCTCACCAACAACCGCAGGTCTGCCAGGCACCTCCTTTCTCTGATACTTCTCATGAGGCACCCCAGTCCTTCGGGACAGCCCGTGACCATGCACTTACTGCTGGGTCCCCCAGCTCCCACTGCCTACTGCTTCAGCTGATGGAAGCTGTACCCATTCAGCTGCCAAGAGGAGCTGTACTATACTCCATCAGAGCGGTGCCCAAGCAGGACTGCCCGTGTGCCAACACTTCATGGAGACTTCAAACAGCCCTTCCATTCCCCACAGGGCTCAGGCACATATCCTGAGGGGCCTCGACCACAAGGCAGAGTCAATAGGCTGTCCTTGGAATGAACATCAGAGTTAGCTGGCCATGCCTGGATCCCTCTCCCCTCCTAGTAAATTCTATCTCCAGGTCTCCAGAGGCCCCTCCTTCTCTGCTAAACAGGTTTCCATAAAGCACTCACAAATTTCCCAAGAAGTGTCAGGTGTTTCTAAGCATCAGTTTAAGCCCAAGAAACGTAAGCTTAAGTTTCCTCTAAACCCGCGTTTCTCCCTTGGTAACCCAGCAGATATTGACCTGAGTTTTTGTTTAGAAAAATAGCCTGAAATGCCTTTAAGGATATGTACATGTATTCAGAGTGTGAATGAATGTGTCCTCTAGCTCATTCTGTCCTAAATCCTATTCCCCGAATATTACCTGCCACTAATTCCTACTGACCAGGCACTGGGTCCTTTAGCCATAAGCCTTACGATAAATTGCCAACTCTCCATTTTACAGATGAAGAAACTGAGGATCAAAGAGGTCACACATGGATCAACAAAACCAGACTCACACTCAAACCTGTCTCTCCCAAGTACGCTGAAGACTTTGACCTTTCGGACACAGGGTATTAAACTGATGGGAGTGAGACCTCTCTCTTTAGAAGAAAAAGAAGCGAGAACCCCGCGCCGCTTTGGAGGCCAGCGCTTTGCCTCCTCCGCCTCCACGCGCCCCGCAGCTTCCAGCCCCCAACTTGGCCTTGAACTCGGCGGCGCGTCCAGGACCCGCAGTTCAAGAGTGGCGGGTCTGAACTCCGGTCCACGCCCACCCCG